GCGCAGCGGCCGCCGAGCGACCCTGACAGGTTCGTACATGGATCTGAAATCCAACAGCAGGTGCCTTTAAACCCTTCCTTGACAACCTGCAGGAACCCTAACGCTGGCTACTGTTTTGTGTATATTGCATCTATCAGTCAAATCAGATGAACAGAGAATATAAACTGTGCACCCATTTTTCTTTTTTGTCTGTTTCTACATATTTACTTATTTTATGTATTTTAATCATAGCAGCAAGCAATAAGATGAAATATCAGAATCAATCATCCTTATTTGATTGGCTTACAGCTAAATAAATCAACTGCTATTTCCAAACATCAATTTAAACTATTATACTGATTAATATCATTACAGTTGAGCCGTCAATCATGGAGTAAAAGTCAAAGAGTTTCTCACTGATTTCTAGTCCTCAATTGGTTTAAGTTAGTGATTGTGGCATTTTGTCGAAAATCATTCTTCCCTCGTAGATTTTCCTTTAGGTGGGGGATTCACACATTGGTTACTGTGAGGTGGAGTTTATCAAACAGTTCAATTGTGTTACTTGTGCATGTGGTGTGGTTGGACCCCAAATGCAGACGTGATCAGAAGAGTAGTGACAACAGAAAAGAGCTTATTGGTTATCGCAAAACGACAGGCAGTAGTAACTCAGAGGCAATGGCAGACAGCCTAGCTGGCCAGGGTGGTTGGAGAGCCAAAACAGGACTGGATGAGGAGTGGGCAAGGACCAGGAGGAGCAGAGGACCAAGTTTAGGGACCAGGAGCATCCAGAAAAGGATCCAGGAACCAGGACGAGTCAGTGGCTCAACAGGGAAACAGCAGAAGACCAGGTGAAACAGCAGAAGGATCAGAATCAGAATCTGCTTTATTGGCCAGGTGTGTCAGACACACGAAGAATCTGACTCTGGTATATCGTTTCTCAATGTGTATGTACATATCCCCATGCAAGGGGCAAGTAAACAGTAAACCAACATAAGGATGTCTAATATAACAAAATAAGCGGTATTAACAAGCAACAAACAGTGCAAACGATGCAAAATAAGCAGTATAAACAGACAGTAAACAATGCAGACTGTCAGGATCAGTGTGGAAAGCTGCCGATAATATCAAGGGTGAACTCAATTATAGAGCTAGACGAGGGTAAACGAAAAACTGTCTCTTTAATAATAACACGGACAACAAAACCATACAGAAAACTACAGAAAACATGAAACACACACTCAGGTCGAAAATACAGTCCAGGGTCAGAGCAAGCAAACTTACACAGCCAAGGGATCCAAAACGAGATGTCAGAGAGGGAAGTCCGATAATCCATACACGAAAGCAGTCCAAATCAAGAGGGCAAGGCAGAATACAATGGTCAAAAAACAGTCTGGGGTCAAAACAAGAAATACAGGCACAAGGAAAAACACTGGAAAGTCTGACATGGGTGAGAGAACAATCTTTCCGATGGGGAAAAGCTGCTTATATTGGGGTGAAAACAATTGAGTGTTGATTAAATAAAAGGTCCATAATTGAGATATGGCGAAACCAGAATGTTGTGTCAAAATTAAAGCATGAGACCGGAAACAGGTGGGAGAGAATCATGACAGTAGAAAAACAAAGGAATGCTCATTGAGATGAGATAATAGGAATAAAATAGAGTACTTAAAAATAGAGACCTGGGCAAGGGGCAAGTAAACTGTAAACCAGCATAAGGCTGTGTAATATAAAAAATAAGCAGTATTAACAAGCAACAAACAGTGCATGCAATGTAAAATAAGCAGTATAAACAGACAGTAAAACAATGCAGACAACAAGGAATGCTCATTGTGAAATGGGATAAGTAGGAATAAATAAAATAGAGTACTTAAAACTAGAGACCTGTACAAATCTGTATAATCTGTACAAGGTATATTTACAGGTATTGCACTGAGGGTTATTGTCCAGTCATATGGGTCAAGTGTTCATCAGAGTGATGGCCTGGGGTAAGAAACTGTCCCTGTTCCTGGCTGTCTTGGGGTACAGTGACCTGTAGCACCATCCAGAGGGGAGGAGTTATAGCAGATTATGTCCTGGGTGTGAGGGGTTTGCAGTGATCCTCTCAGCCCTCCTGTGAGGTGTACAGGTCCTCCATGGAGGGCAGGCTTGCACCAATGACCTTTTCTGCAGTCCTGACTGCCCTCTGAAGTCTGTACTTGTCCTGTTTGGTTGCTGAGCCAAACCAGATAGTGATGGAGGTGCAGAGAACAGACTCAATGATTCCTCTGTAGAACTATATCAGCAGCTCCTGGGGCAGGTTGAACTTCCTGAGCTGGCGCAGGAAGTACATCCTCTGCTGTGCCTTCTTGATGATGATCCCACTGTTGGATGCCCACTTCAGGTCCTGGGAGATAGTGGAGCCCAGGAACTTGTAGGACTTTACTGCTGATACAGTGCTGCCAAGTATGGTGAGGGGGGGGTAAGGTGTGGGGGGGATTCTTCTTGAAGTCCACTGTCATCTCCACTGTTTTGAGTGGGTTCAGCTCCAGTTTGTTGCAGCTACCCCACCAAGACAAATCTGAATAAGGAAGGAGTCCATCTTTCTTCATTTTAGTGCTGATTTATTTTAAAGCCACAATAAAAATTACAGAACACAACCCAGGTCGCTCCCTGCTCCAGACAAGCTGCTGAAAGAAAGGAGCTCTCGGAAACACAGAGCCTAATACAGTATATTTATAAGTTTTTGGGCTAACCCCTTACACAGACAGACATAAAAACATCACGAGTTGGAGTCAGTGAAGCGTCTCCTTCTCTTATCTAGAGCTCCAGCTGCATGGAGCCGCTGGCCATAACAAAATGAAGAATTTCAATGTGTGTGTGTGTGTGTTGTCATGTGGTGCGTAACTAAAGCATTCATTCAGACATAATTCTAACACAAGATTAATACAAGGAAACAATTGGTGTCAAGGTACACTTTTCAGAATCAACATTGTCTTCTAACCTTGAAGCAAAGCAGACTACAGCAGACTTTGAATCTTACTAAATTGCATTACTAATACATTTGTCTAACACATTAATATCTAATGATTATCTGACTGATTTATTAATATCTAACAAATTCCCCCTTTTGACACGATTTTTATCGTGTCAACCTAAATCAAATGTCCTTGTTGTCCCCAGATTAGGCATCCAAGGAGGAGAGAGCCCCCCCTTACCAGCCCCTCCGAGGAAAGCCCAGAACTGAGTACCACGGGCAAAATCTGAAATAATAACATAAAATGATGGCATGTAAGCTGGTCTTCATTGTTGTGGTCCTATATGTATGCTTCTATGTGAAACCTGAGTCTTCATTGCAATTATAGCATTTTTCAAACAGAACGTGGAAATGTCTAAACAGCATGTAGCAAACAATCATTGGTTAATCATAACATTTGTAGGACATAACAAGTGCGATGGATGAGAGGAAATATAAGATGGGAATATTTATTGACCTAAAAAAAGCATTTGACACAATCAATCATGAGTTATTAATGGATAAGTTAGAAAAATATGGGATCAGAGGAATGGTTCTGAAATGG